AAAGTAGTGTAAGTCATTACATTTCAGAGACAGTAATATTGTAATGTAACGTAGCCTATTACTTAAAAAAGACAGTAATAAGTAATGTACTGTATTACATTTTGGAAGTAACTTGCCCAACACTGCAGATGATCCAGTCATCTCGATGCTGCTTTCGGGCTGTGAATAAACAACTTGTGTTTTACTTTTAGGCTGTCTGAAGGTATGGATAGCTATCAAAGCTACTATAGGCTACATCACATTAAGAACGATGTACAAATGTTTTATATGTATTCAACGTGTGCCCCGCTGGACTTACTTTTCTGTGGTTGACCGTTACTGTGACATATCAGTATAGCCACGGAAGATAGTTTGTGTGATTCATTCCCATGCATCAAGGTTATTTTCATGTAGCCTATGTAATTGTTTTTCCTGCACAGTCTAGACTCTTGTTGTGATGAGAGGGATACATGTATTTCATTAAAAAAACGTGCTCCCTGGAGAATAGCTACAGCATTTATATCACAATTTAATCGGAGCTGATCACAACTTGTCATGAGTGATCCAGTCATCTCGATGAGCGTTCGGGCTGTGAATAAACGACTTGTGTTTTACTTTTAGGCTGTCTGAAGGTATGGACAGCTATCAAAGCTACTATACATCACATTAAGAACGATGTACAAATGAAAGTCGGACACAAATATATAATTTAAATGATTTATTCAAGTTTGCAATATTTTGAACAGGCATCCACACAGTCACCTACTTTGTAATGTTCGATACCTCCCTGTAAGCGTCACAATATTCACCTCTCACCCACAACCTCACATACGAGTACTGAATGTGCATCAAAGTGATCTTAGGAAGGCAGATATAGCAAAAGATGAACGTAAACGACAAACGAGGCGATCGACATGGTAAGTCAACAATGGGTCCTCAATGTACACGCCCCGGATTCCTATGACGAAAATAATAGAATGTCGCCAGTTGTCATGACTCAAGTTATACTGCAACACCGGTACCTATGGACGGCACGAGTGTGTTTAAGCTCGTTAAACATGTTTTGTCCGTTCTGTGGAAACCACCTGGGCCACGTGACACGGTTTTGCCCATCACGATATACTTTCTCGTGCGCACGAGATACGTTCACGTGCGCACGAGAAAGTTACCGGTTCGCCAAGTAGGAACTGGAGCTGTGCCTTTTACACACCACCTTCGCTTTGTTTACCTTCATTAGAACAGCTAAAGAGCGACTGCAGGCTGCTTCGTTTTAACCACACACACCTCTACACACACACATCTACACGCATCGAACTGCCCGATTATTACGCCTTATTATTAGTTTTATGAAGGAGATGTCCGGTCACCAGGGCGTGTGTGTGTGACACTGGCATTTGTTTTCAGAAGACACTAGGCTTGTTTGAGACAAGCGAGACCTGCGCAGTTGCGATCAACGTCTTGCTAGTGCGTTGCATGATGGTTAGTCATTAGGCTTGTTTGAGACACATTGCGGCTCGCCTCGAAAGTAGACGAGAGTAGCCGATCGCAGCCGGGGGAGGTGTCAAAAAGCTCGTCTTAAGTCGGACAGCTCGGAGTCGGTGTCGGCTTGACTGGCTGGGTTTGCAATGGCGGAAATTGCGTTGGCGTTTTTCGTTGCAGATGAAGTGGATGCAATAGAAATCCCACAATTATTATATCACTACAAATGAATGACTCAAGTGTCAGTTCATTTTGAAACAAATCAGTACAAGGGGGGTTGAATACATGTAAAAGACAGAACCACTTATTACTTTTCAAAACTACTTCCGTCAGTGGTCTTGACAAGATTGCATTTATAAAGAATGCACAAATGTGTATATTCGTTAATGTCAGATATGTACTAAGTAAATGCATTTGTTCCTGCTCAAGATTAGATTCAACTTTATTGTTATTGCACATATTACAGGTACTGAGACAACGAAATGCAGTTTAGCTTCTAACCAGGTGCAACAAGCAGTAAAGTGAAAAGTAATGTACACAACCTACAGAATAAAAATGAATTGAATGATGAATAAACAGTGAGGGGTATGAATACACTAGATATCAGCCTGTGAGCAGCATGAACAGTGTGTATGAATATGCTAAGATATATAAAGTATGAAAACGGTAAGCAGTATAGTATAACATATATAGATATTAATTTCATGATGATAAACATTGTGGAACAATGATGAAAAATGGGAATGGATGTGGCGACGTAAAACTGACACAAAACAACAAGCGAGACGTTTCCCATCAAGCATTTCGCTTCCGCAGCCCGTGGAGAGCAACTGCGCCAACTCGCCTCGCTCTCAAGGCTGCGGGCGTCTTTGTCCCGCGAAATTTCAAAGTCTCATGTGGGCGGGCCTCCAGAGCAAGTCGGACAAAATGACTAACCATCATGCAACGCACTAGCAAGACGTCGATCGCAACTGCGCAGGTCTGCGCAGGTCTTGCTTGTCTCAAACAAGCCTATTTTGTCCGACTTGCTCTGGAGGCTCGCCTACATGAGACGTTGAAATCTCGCGGGACAAAGACGCCCGCAGCCTTGAGAGCGAGGCGCGGCGAGGTGGCGCAGTTCCTCTCCACGGGCTGCAGAAGCGAAATGCTTGATGGGAAACGACTCGCTGGTATCTCGAGCTGAGTGCTCATTGGTGGTTTTTACCACGTGCTGCTGATGCAACTCTCCAATTGGCTCGGCAAAAGTTTGTTGTTGTTTTGTGTCCGTTTTACGTCGCCACATCCATTCCCATTTTTCATCATTGTTCCACATTGTTCCAATGTTTATCATCATGAAATTAATATCTATATATTTTATACTATACTTGCACTGCTTACCGTTTTCATACTTTATATATCTTAGCATATTCATACTATATACTCCCCCCCCCATCTATGTATATACTCGCATTTTAGACTCTGTTACTAACTGTATATCTGTAGACTTGGTATGTCTTAAATGTCCGGTTAGGATGTATTAGAACGAAATCTAAAATGAAAATTGTAAACAAGCAATCTGTATGTAAAAAAACCCACCTGTATGTAAATTGTAAATAAGCCATCTGTATGTCAAATATGTCTTATATGTCTTAAATGACATGATGAATTGGAAATGAGGGACCCTGATGTAGACAAGACGAAAGTCTTTCTCTGGTCTGCATCCCCTTAACAATTGTATGTTTTGAGCTGTACTGTACTGTACCCAATATACAAGCTGTTAATAAACTTTTCAATCAATCAATCAATCAATACACACTGTTCATACTGCTCACAGGCTGATATCTAGTGTATTCATACCCCTCACTGTTTATTCATCATTCAATTCATTCTATATTTTATTCTGTCTATTGTGTACATTACTTTTCACTTTACTGCTTGTTGCACCTGGTTAGAAGCTAAACTGTATTTCGTTGTCTCAGTACCTGTAATATGTGCAATAACAATAAAGTTGAATCTAATCTTGAGCAGGAACAAATGTATTTACTTAGTACATATCTGACATTAACGATTAAACACATGTGTGCATTCTTTATAAATGCAAACCGAGTCAAGCCGACTCCGGAGGTGGCGGTATGCACCTTAAAGTTGTTTGCAATCCGCCAAAAAACGGAGAGAAGAAGAAGAAGAAGACGAAGCCGACTCCGAGCTGTCCGACTTCAGGCGAGCTTTTTGAGACCTCCCCCGGCTGCGATCGGCTATTCTCGTCTACTTTCGAGGCGAGCCGCAACGCGTCTCAAACAAGCCTACTATGATAGTGTTGTTCGTTCCGGTGCACTCTGACAGCACTGAGCACTACATCGAGATTAAGATTAAACACATTTATTTAATATTTGGGAACACACACATATAGGCCTACCTATGGAGTTGGCCAGATGTGTGTAAATTACTGTTCATGGTAATTTGAAAACAAATGCCGGTGTCGGACACACCGAACACACACAGAGCGGAGCTGAGCAGAGCACAAACACACACATCATGCGCCTTGGTGACCGGACATCTCCTTCATTAAACGAGTAATAAGGGGGAATAATCGGGCAGTTCGATGTGTGTAGAGGTGTGTCTATGTGTAGAGGTGTGTGTGGTTAAAACGAAGCAGCCTGCAGTCACCCTTTAGCTGTTCTACTGAAGGTAAACACAGCGAAGGCGGTGTGTAAAAGGCACAGCTCCACTTCCTACTTGGCGAACCGGTGCGCACGTGAACGTATCTCGTGCGCACGAGAAAGTATATGGTGATGAGCAAAACCTCACTTGGCCCAGGTGGTTTCCACAGAACGGACAAAACATGTTTAACGACCATAAACATACTCGTACCGTCCAAGTGTTTCGGCAAATGTTAAAGTGTTTCGCAAATGTTAAAGTATTCCGGGAAATGTTAAAGTATTTCGGGACTTGTGAATTTGTCTCAGTTCTCGGAAAAGTGTTTTAGCTAATGTAATTTTGTTTTTATAAAATGTAATTTTGTTTTTATAAAACATAAATGTGTCTCTAGCTTTGTAAAAGTGTTTTGCATCTTGTTAATTTGTTTTTGTTAATGTTAAATTGTTTTTTCTTTGATAAAAGTGTTTTGCTAATGTCATTTTGTTTTATAAAATGTAAATTTGTCTCAAGCTTGGAGTGTTTCAGACTTTGTAATTCTCGTTTGCGCTTCTCAGCCACTGTCCAGACTCTTCTCGGGATACATCATATTTTTTGTTTCCGAAGATTTTTTCTAAGGATGTCAGTGAGTACAAACTGAAATACATGTGGCATTATATTATTGTTATTGGCTATTATTCTACAACTCAGAAGGTCTCCAACACTCAAATACAGACTGATCTGTTACCAATTATGTAATACTCATGTAAGCATTGGGGTGAGAATTCATGTGTTAATGACTTGTTGCTGCTACTTGTGTTTTTGAGTTATCGTGGTTTTGCAAAAAGCAATTCTAACCAGAAAAGACAAGACACAAAACTTTCTAGAGGCCAATAACTGAATTTAATACCCTTCTTCCCACCCACCCTTTCATTTGCAAAGAAATGTACACAACAACAATTACATACGGTTTGTGAATGTACATTACAAAAACATAGGAACTGATACAAGGGTTTTTTATCACTTACAATTATCTGATCTTCATGGCTGATCTTGTCACCTCAATTGACAACCATTTAGGGAATTGATAACAATTACAAAATGAAAATAATGTATTTTCTCAAACTTAAATACTAAAGGGAATAAGTACGCCCACACTTTCAGTACAGTTTGGGGTCCCCCGCTTAATTTGCTCATGCTTCAGGTCAGCTCTGATCCCTTGTTATTATTGCGGAATTGAACATCACATAAAAAAAAGTAAGGTACCTAATTTACAAATGCATACATAATTGATGATTTGTAGGTATTAAAATGGTAAGTATTGCTTGTTTTACATAGTTATGTAATTTGTACCGTGCCATGCAAAATGCTACACAGATAAACTACGCTGTGTAACTTACAAATCTTTCATAGCAACAATATCCGGTCTCATTCAGTGAATAATTCTTTGGATGCACATGCACATCATTTTCGTATTAGTAAAGTGCAGTATACAATATCATACTTTTGGAAAATAATTTACCTGGATATATGAATATCAGAAAAAAAAAGCAGTAATATGACCGTGACATGACACTTATGTTGGTATGTTACTGACGTTTCAATTATCACATTATTTCATTCAGATGTTAAGGGATAGTGCATACAAATAGATGAATAATTTATTTAGTTGCCTAGCTTATATCATCAGGTAAAACAGTAGACTTTTAGTTACATGGCTTTAACATTTTACAGTCTTTCATTTATTTGGCACATGTTGATAAATGCTCAGAAACACCTCCTGTCGCTCTGACTGTAGCATGTCTACTTGGCACTGAGATCCACCACCAGGTGCTGGTAGGCCAGGGTGTTGCCTTTGAAGCTGGCAGCCAGCAGCATGTCCTTGTTGTCGACAGAAACCAAGCTGAACGCTCGTGGGGCTCTCATGTTGAGCTCCTGGAAGGGCTGGAAGCGCTGAGTGAGGTCATCCCACAGGTAAACTCTGGAGAAGGAGAAATCACTTCCAAGAATGAGGTACTGGCGGAGGCCCACTGTGAAAGGATAGACTGCCATTGAGCCCCGAGAGGGAAGAGTCTGGATCTCTATGAAGCGCTGCCCTTCCCAGCGGAGGATCTTGGAGTCACCGATGAAGCGTGTGAGGCAAAGGTAAAGAACTTTCCTCACCCAGAAGTGCTTAACCATCTGCACATCTGCTAGCTCTGTGATTTGGGAGAAGAATGCAAACTGCTTCTGGCCGCGGTCCCACTGATAAACCACCGGTGGCTGAGAGGCGCTGGAGAGGATCAGGTGAGGCTTTCCCCCAACATCAAGGAACTCCACATGGGTGTCCCGGTGCCAGGGATGGAGGGACTGGTGGGTGTAGAAACCGTTGCTGTTCCAGCGATAAATGCTGGTGGAGCCTGCCTTGGAGCTGTCTGCTACCACAAAGTACCACTCGTCATCCAGCTGGAAGGTGTCTACGAAGTTGGGCTTCCTCACACGAGTGGTGTCAATGTCTTGGATCTTTATAAAGCGCTGGGGGTCCTCTTCCCACCTGTAATTACAAACTTATTTTCATTCCTATAGGGATTCAAGGATAAATTACAATCTGGGGAAATAGGCTCATTAGCTTTCTTGCTGAGATGAGAAGATTCATATCACTCTCATGTCAAATTCGTACCAATATTCTCATCTAAATAAGGCGAATTAGCCTTTCTCTATAATGTCAAGCTATTCCCTCCTTCCATTCCTAAAGCACTTGCTGTTTATCAAACTATATTGCAGGCCTTACTTGTAGATATGAGATCCACCAAAAAGTTGGGCAACAACCATGTAAAGATTGTTGCTTATCACCACTGGTTTGCAGTACACAGCAGAGCGAGCTGCAAAAGGGATATACAACAATTGAAAGCCATTTAGGATTAAAACGTTTTTTTTTTTACATAGAATGGTACAATATAAAAATCTGGCAACTTACAGGTAATGTTATGAAACAGCCTGAACACCATCTCCACATGATCCCACACAAACAAGGTGCAAAACCCTGAGTCCGGCTGAGCAAAGACCGCAAACTGATCATCATTGAACTCATAGGACTCCACCGACACCGAGTGGAAAGGGAAGGTTTCATAGACAGCAAAATCTACAGGAAGACATAAAGCAAGTTATGAAACAAGAAGTTATGCGTAACAACACCAAAAATGTCTTAAAGGGAGAAGGCGAAACCTGCGCTGATACAGTTGAAGTCTCGCGGTGTGAGGTCGTGGATTCTGCGTCCCTGAAACTCAAAGGGGCTGGCGCAGTAGATAGCAGGGACAGAAGTGTTGGTCTTCTCCATCCAGTCCACCAGCCATTTGATTTTACAGTCACAGCGGAAAGAGTTACCACGCAGGTCTCTGACCAACAGATAGGAGCAGAGACAATATGTCAGTACATATGTAAAAACACAACACAAATCTCCCAAACCTCACAGGAACAAAACAACCAAGACAAAAAGTATTTTGAGCACCAGTGTGGTTTGACTCAGAGACAAACCACACTCGAGACAGTTTTGCAGGCGAGTGTGTGGTAGTCCACTAAACGCTATGGGAACCTCAGCAAATTACAAAACACCAACAATGTTTTGCTGTGACAGATTGTAGGGTCAAAGCTCTCGGGTTGTCAGGACAGTTTGAATTGCAGTGAAGGGACACTTACAAATCTGTGAGGATGTCTAGATGTTTGAAGAGATCTCTTGGCAGCTGCTGCAGGTTGTTGTTTGAGAGAGATCTGAAAAGAGACAACATAGTTATCATGTCCTCTTGGTTGTCTACTATGTAATTATCTCTACTAGACCTAAGGAACAGGGATAAGCATGTGTGTGTCATGGCTATATAAAGAGAACTTCATACAGCATTGGAGGCAGAAACCTACTCATTCCTATGAAAGTTGCCCAGAGGTACATGTAGTCAAAAAGGTTAGATTTAGGATTATAAAATTACCCAGATCTCTGATTGATTTTCTGGATCCCTGGGCCCATAGAGCAAGCACAATAGCATTTTCTTTAACTCTGCATCCCATCCACATGGGCTTATTCACATAAACGGATGAATGTCTTTCAAATGTCTAAAACGAATAACTATAAGCTTTAAAAAGGGACATTTTTTACCCCAAGAATATATAAGATAACATACAAATGTCTGTATAAAATGATTTTTGGCCTTGAGGCATCACATACTGGATCCTAAAGTTGTAAATCCATGGTTGGCCACAATGTCATTTTTAAAGGTTTTAGTTTGAAATACACGTATTTTAGCATCATCAGATGGACATGGGACAAATAAAGGGTTTCTGCACCTTGCTAGCTCAAAGAAAATACTTACAGATGAGTCAAGGATTTAAGTCCTCTGAGGGTGTACTTTGAGAGAGCCTGGATGTCATTATTCTCAATGAACCTGAGGAGAGACAAACCCTTCATGTCAAAGTGATAACCTCAACCTCTGAAATGCAGTCACTGTTATTGTTTATATGCTTGTTAGAAAGGATATTGTGTTGTCGGTGCAGGGCCCAATAGGAGTGACAGTAGGCAACGATTATCTTAGCATATAGCACTCTGCATCATGTGGACTTCAAATTAAATAGCTTTTACAATTAATCAAAGTGTGACAATAAGATTAATATTTGTTATGGGTTTTGATGGATGCTATTGGCCAAGGCAATCAGTGATTTTAATGCAAAGGACACAATGTAAAACCAAAAAATCAATATCTCAGTGGTGAAAGCTAATTGCATGGCTTTGAATAATGTAATAAAACTAAGACACTGAGTGCAGCGAGTACTACAAAGGTCTGCATGTCAGCATCATTTGATCCCATCCTGTCTAAGTTATATATATTGATAGTCAAGGACAAACAGCATATGCATACTCTTTGGAGGTGGTTGGATATTAAAGTGTGTCTTTATTAGCATTCAAAGCGGGTAGCGGCGGTAGTGGCCGTGATGCAGAGAGGCCTGGTGTCTGGGTTGCAGCCAAAGCCACACAGCAAGCATCCTGAGGCATGGCTATCACAGAGAGCCATCAGCTAACTACTTTATAAAGCCCATCAATTCACAGAATGGCATATTCAGCTTTATTACACTTTAGAGGCAGAGTGCTCCCCGTCATAGGAAGATTTATTTTGAGTCTTATGTTTGGCATTATTTGCCATTGCAGAAACCAACATCTCACAGTGCAGCATTGTGGTTCATTTTCTTAACTTTGTATACAAATAAAACAACCTAACTACCGCAATTAATCAAAAAGGAAAAACCTTTCCTAAAAGCAACCTAATGGCATCTTTGCTTAACAGTTACAGCACTGTGGTGAATGCAAAATACATAATGTTGAAATTCAAAGTATGCTAAAATTAGCTACCACTAGCAGCCATTACCTAGTAGTCATAACAGACCAAGTAAGGACTAGGCGACTAAACCCCCTGATAGTATTGAACTGATCGAGGGTGGGTTTTATGAATTTAATGTTCCATTTGTAAGAGAAATAAAGCGTTATTTCTTATTTTTTTATTGACACAGCCTTAGTTTAAAACTTTTTCGTCAGTACATTTACACTAGTATAAGTACATTTAATCAATATTTCCAAATATCACTTAAAAAACATATTAAGACACGGTTGAAAACAATTATAACATGCACACAATAACGTGAGACACTTACAGGTACTGCAGGTGAGACAGACCAGCAAAGGCATCATCAGCAATCATGGTGAATGTGTTGGAGTTCAAGAGCCTGGAAAAAGGAAGTCATAGTGATCAAGTCAAATAGATAGTGTAGTACATTACAAGTGAAGGGCTAGACTGCAACTTAAATATCTTTACAAATGTAATTACATTTTTTCACTGGGCTAATTTGGAGATGTTTTTTAGTGAATACAATGAAAACAAAAATATGTAGTTTCCATCACATAAATCAATTTAAGCAATACAGAGCAATATAAAGATAATCAAATGCAAATACGTATTTGGAATTCATACACACACGCACGTGACCACACACTCATGATTGCATCTGAGAGGATAAACGGCCCTTTGTCTGGCAGAGCTGAAGGGAGTCAGTGATTGCCAACGACACTGATACAGAGCCACTTTACTCTTATTACTGCTATGTCACCACTGTTTTCAATAACCATTCATTTCTAGTAGCTGAAGTCACTTTCATTGTCACTGCAAAACAAAAGCTGTCTGCGTGCGTATACAATGTCGACTGTGTAGAAAAGAGTTTTGACTGTATTTCGTAACAGGGAGGTGTGAATCTAACTGATAATAGATACTGAATATGAGTTTAGGAAGTTTTAAAGTTGTGAAAGTCCTCTGTTGTTGGTCAGGACACTTACAGGAACTGCAGCAGGTGAAGGTGCGAGAAAGCTCCCTCTGGGATCGTAGTAAAGGCTGCGTTCACCATCGTCCTGTTCAAACAAATAACATCAGTTATCATCCGATGTGTCTTCTAGATATGAGAATGTAGATTACACATGTAGTGCCAAAGTTTAGCAGTGTGACGTCATTTGTTTTTATCATAAAATATGTCTAATTCGCAACAATAACTGTGTATTTCTTTGTTTCTTTCATCAGGACATGATCGTTGTTACCGTGTAAATATCAAGTAGGGCTAAATATTTCCAAAACTAGGACACATAAGTTCCTACTTCACTTTTCTGTATTGTAAAATGAGGCCACCTCCACCAGCCTGTGCTCTGGATTTCCCTTGACTTAATATTCCATCCACAGGCATTTGGGGTCAATGTCACATAAAAGGGGCCACCTTGTAATCTTCTCAACATAACATAACCTTCCCCCATCTTTACATTTCATTGCATGTGCTCCATTTATCTCTCTGCAAGATTTGATCTCAGAGGAGAAGCAGATCTCCTGCAGTCAGATATGGGATCTATTGTTAGTCCTCCTCCCTGGAGCTCGACAGGATTGTACTGCTGTGCTCCCTCAACTAAGTTCAGCATGTGGTACAGGAAAGAAAGAGGAATATCTGGTATACATCTCTATTACTGAAAATACATTTTGCATCAAGAGAGTTGGCAACATACAGGTATTCACTTTAAGGTAATTAAAAGACATGTAGGGTTTTATTACATAATGGAGAGTGACATCAGTGATGAAGCCATCTGTACCAGCCTGCATATTGCTCACATCTCACACAGGTTATGAACACATGCTATTGGTGAATGTTTGCATTGTTGTGGACTCACAGAGAGATGATTCCAGGGGGGAAACTCTTTGGAATAGCCCTGGTATCCACACAGAAGGCACTGTCTTTGGTGCAGGAGCAGGTCGAAGGACAGCGGGGGATCTTGGGGGCTCTCCTGGCGTCCGATTCCCTCGGCAGGCTGAGACACAGGCACAGCAGCGAGAAGCAGATCAGCCTCGTCCATGTCTGTCCCAGCTCAGGCATCCTGGTTCAGGATGAAAAGTAGATGAGCTTCTTGAAGTTTCTTCTCACCGGCAAGTGGGAAGATGGTGAGCCTGCCTACAACCCCAGCAGTTTGATAATGCTGAGCGCAGAGTGGAGAAAGGGAGGGAGGTGGGGGGAATAAGTGTAGTCCTGTGTATCCTCGCTGGGTGTCGGTGCTCTGCAGCTTCCTTGGACTTTTGCAATCTCTCTCTCAGGAGCCGCTGCCAGATTGCACACTGCAGGAATGACGAGCAGTGCTGCTTTCTCTGCACAAAGACCTGTAGGCGAGGGGAGCTGACAATGAATTATTTACTATTGCACGAGCAGAAAACCTCAGAACAACAGCAGCAGTTAGGGAGCGAGGGAGGGAGGTGTGAGGAGATTGGGTCCTTGCTGATGAAAGATTTTACTACCATGTTCAGTGTGTGAAAGCTCTTATCAAGTGTGAAGTCGTGTCATGCTGCTGCAGACAAGCAGGCAGCAAGGATGCAGGAAAAATGTGTGTGAAAGCCTCCATGTGTTTCCAAGTGGCTGTGTGTGTGGGAGGGAGTCTGTGTTCTGGCAGCTTTCAACAGCAAGCAGTGCGCACACTTTCTGTAAGCATGCAGGTACAAACTGAAAAACACTATTGATAGAACCCAAACAGATACCACATGCTTAGGAATAGACATGAGAGATGTACCAGGAAAAGTACACTACATCTGGTCATTTATTTTCATTTTAAAGACACTGCCTCTCAGACGACAGAGAAGATGAACAGCGGCCATAAAGAGGCGCTCCAGTGATTGGGAACTGCACTTCCATTAGGTTGTGGCACTTCAGAGCGACATATTAAAATGGAACGGTCTAAATCAAAGTAGCAGGAGCTGAGATCTCCTGACTCTTTGTTTGTAGTATGCATAAAGCTCCATTGGCAACACAAAAGTATCTTGACCTTCTGATATGCATGCCTGACCCATGTGTTTCAAATGTCTGCCTGTCTGCAACATGCCTGCGAGAGACATTTAGTAATTCCTTACTTCTTTTGAAAAAAAAGTTGGCTTAGAACACATCTGAGGACATTTTTCAAATTCAGTCAAACAATTTGGCTGAGAATTGAATTTTCTAGTTATTCTGTATTAAGGTTTAGTCTTTGGGCACAAGTTTTTTTCTAAATATTTAATTATACTTTAGGAACAAACAGTACTCCAACTCCAATGACTACTTATGGCGCGTTTCCACTGCAGCGGGGTAGCCCCGTTTAAGCGTCCTAAGCGTCCTCGCTCAGGCCTCGGGCTGCCTCGCTGGCCGGCCCAGGCCGTGGCGCATTTCCATTACAGTTTAGGACCTGGGGTAGCAACGCAGTGTAGGCGGGGCGATCGGCTTTGTTTTTGTTCACATTTTGAGTTGTTCCGTCGAGCTCCCGCTGGATTTGATCATCCCCAATGAGATGTAGGAACGTCGTCACCTCCTCGGTCGACCACGGTGTGCTTTTCTTATTAGACGTAGCCATTTTTGTAGCTCATCCGTTTACAAAATGCTGTTTATAAAAATGCTGCAAGCTTGCTTCTAGATATATATGCGACGCTAGGGATGAACTCGCGCGCGATCTTGTGACGATTCTCTCTGACCAATCAGCAGTCGAGAGTGTTGACGTCACTAGTTCAGCCCTGGCCCTGGTCTGAGGGAACCACGATTTTATGAGGCCGGAAAAAGAGGGAAAAAGTACCCGCTGGCCGGTACTAGGCTATATGGAAACGCCACCAAAAACCGGCCTGGCCGCTTGAGGACGGTTAAGGACGCTTAAACGCGCCATTAGTGTCATGTTCAGCTACAAGGATCACAATTTGGTGTCTATAATAAAATGTTGAAGATATGCACATGTATGCAGTGTAAAATCAATTAAGTATGAAGACATTTACTAAAGATAATGTTAGCAATTTCCTGACTAAGACTATTGATAAAAGTGTGATTTCTTTTATGTGATCTAAAAATTCACAATTAGTACTGTTATACTTGCCTAAAAAACTGAATTTCCCCTTGGGGATTAATAAAGTAGATATTTTTCTTAAGTATGTCCGTAACATTTTTAAGACTTCGACCAATTACAACAAATGTTGTGGATATTTTCCTTTTCATATTCATTATAGAGTTTATCATAGAGTTTATCAGAAGACATACACGCTCTGATTATTCAGGACATGTACTTAAACACTATTGTGTAGTTATTTAATATAATTTTAGGTTTAAAAGTATTTATTATATGTTTCTGCAATGCCATCAGAGACACAATGTATAAGAATCAAATTGTACATTCTTTCTTTGAATGAGTTCAAGCCCAAACAGCAAATAAAGGACAGATACAAGACATGACTTTATAGGTGAGAACATTTCTACCCTATAACTCAGGCTAAGGCCACCAGAGGGTGCTACCCACCACAGAGTAGAGGGTCTTCAGGACAGCAGGCTGTGCAGAGTGTCTGAATGGCAGGCCTGCAGCTCAGTGCCAGGCATTACCAGCCTTCCCTCACAACGACTCTGTTGTCCCGAGCAAAGAAACCCTGCAACACACTATCTGTCCATGTCTCGCCACACTGTTGCAACAGCAGCAGGGACACAGCATCAAACATCTGATCCGAAGCAGTACTTTTAGAGCAGAGTATGACTATTTATACAACTTCACTTATTGTGTCTCATGATCTCTGAGGTACGCCAACAGAAAGCTATGAAATGAAATAAAAAGCATTATGTTGATGAAAGAGAAAAGGCTCTTCATGGGCTTCATTTAAAATCTGTTGGATGTTGTTATTGCCCTGGGACTGTTAACTGTGTATCAGTGAAAGGTATAGTTGTTGGTACAGAAATCTGTCCATTTATCTTGTCTCTCTGTAGGCTGTGTTACATTTTAACTAAGAATGATTTCACATGTTACTAAATGATGGGTGGCGTCTCTTTGTGCCTTATCCAGTTATGGAATGCCATTTCCTGTACAGCAGCTTTCTGTTGTGCTTTATTTTCTTTTGTGCAGTGTGTTTGCCTGTGTCTTAGCTTTTTTTTTGTTCTTACTGTATTCGTGGATTCATGCAAGTTACGCTCTGTGAGGAGCAGTTAATGCCTGGGCTTACTCCTTGCTGAGCTCCACCCAATCCGAACCTCCGGTGGGAACTAGCATAATTGCATGGCATAGAGCATGGAGCATGAAACAGCAGCTGGAAACCCAAACATGCCCTGTAAGCAGCAGAGGAATCTGAAATGTGGCTGAGATTAATCCGCAGAATGCTCTCTATACAAGTAGACTTAACTTAATTACAGGTTTCAGTCAAAAATACTGTTTTGGAAAATTTGCTGTGGAAATAAATCAGTTATCACATTTAATAATGTTTGCTCTTTTCTTTAGAACAGAGTTAATTTCTGCAGCTTATTTAGATTAGTCTCTCTCATGAAAATGCCTATTAGTACTCATGTTTTATTGTGAGCACATTTGACTGTTTTAGTGTATAGTTTAGGAATAATGTCCTTTTTTTAACCTTCGACCGATTAGTCGTTAAAGGCATTTTCATGCAAAACTCAAGAACATTTGGACATTTCTTGCTTTTCTTTGTTTTACATCATATTTAGGTGAATATCTTTGGGTTCTGGACAAACAAATAAGGTATTTTAGATCATAACATTAAACTTTGAGAAACTTGGATATACTTTTTCAGCACCTTCTGACATTTCAAAGTTCAGACAAACAATCATGTAAAGTCATGTACTCTATACAGCATTAGCCTCTTGATCTGCCTTGCTTCACAATTATCAACTATTCCAGTAATAAGGAAGTTCAGCCAAGCTACCACTCACTCTGAGGGATCAGTGTTAGCAGTTACACTTGGGAGTGCTGTGTTGGGCAAAAATTAGTCATTAAAAGTGTTCCTGTCTCCTGTGCCAGATTCTCACCATCCTCATCATATCCTCTGCTTTCTGGCACACATGCTTTCTCAAATCAGTGCGTCAACCCTGTTTGGATAACTCTGCGTCACATCCATGTTTAACACTGAGTTTGTTCACTTCAGTTTCAAACCCACATCCCACTCTGATTATGGGCCAAGGAGCCTGAAAAGACCTCTGTGTCTGTCTGTTTCCATTTCTGTTTGGCTTTCACCGTTTAGCCTCCTGGCTGCACAGGAAGCAGGAATACCAAAATAGGAAGAAAAGCATTTCACCTCACTTCTTTTCAGGGAAAATCCCAGCTGCCCCAGGCACTGTGGATTATACCGGAGCCACAAAGGTGTAGAGACTTGAGTCAGACATGTACACACACGTTATGGTGTTTCTATACTGAAGAAACATGGCTGCACACCCTGAACATTTCTTTACACCAAGTGTTTAATAGAGGGGGAAAAGGGCACAAATAAACAGGTGATTATCAGGCATTAACTCATTAACTTCATCTTCATGTGTCTTCATTAGGGTACAAGCTGATAGATGCTAGTAATTCAGTTGGCCAAGTCTAAGGACAAGTTGACGTCCTCCTCGATGAGTCAGGAGCAAAAAATGCATTCACACGTCACTATGAAATTCAATAAGGTAAGTGTTTGTCACTACTAGCCTTGCTGAGCACACATCTGTCATGTTTGATGAGTCTGTCTTTAATAATCAATTGCCGTGCTGCAAACACCCAAATAAAATTCCTAATGATTTCATATTAGACGATAAAGGTTAGTGTCTGGGGCGAGTCTATGAACAGCAGTGAAACATGTGATATCAAATGCTAACTTTGGGGTACCTTTAGGATTTTATACCAAACTGTGCCAAGAAAACAACCACCCCCAAATTGCTCTTTTTCCTCGCCTCCCTCTCTAAGTGCGGCTCAGTCACTGGAAGGTATGTCAGCCAATCTCATCCCAGGCTCAATTCAATTAAAGAGAGTACAAAGACATATGGCTCAGGGGCGCGTGATATGATTAGAGTTCTGTGCACAACGACGCTGCTGCTGCTTTGATTCATACCCTCTCTTATCTAGTCACAAAGTGGCAGGCTGAAACAACTGAGCCAAGAAGCGCTCCCTCAAGAGAGCTGCAGGATCCTCAAGGGGCAAAAAAAAGCCTCCTGATGTGATCTCCATCAATCAACAGGTCATATAGTCATTATCTTTGCAATGAAAACATGCTGCAGTGACAAAACAGACACAAAATCATTACATCTAAGGGAGATTATCTGTTGATTGTGACATTTTGAGACAAAGTGGATCAAGAAAATCATCCAAACCAAATACTGCATCTCCCAATCAGGACAATGCAGAGGAGCAACTGTACCCCATGCCCTC